GTTAAAGGGGCTGAGAAGGGAAAGGCTCTTCTAGAACGCAAGGGCGATGCCCTTAAGATGAAGCACAAAGAGATGGCAGGCCGGCTCTACCTCCAGAAACAAGAACTGGAAAAGAAGATGGAAACAGCCTTCTACCTACTGAGCCGGGCAGAACTCTACGGTGCTGACTTGCGCCTGTCCATTCACCAGGCAAACAGTGCTCCGCTCTCGGTGCAGCGACAGCAGGAGATGATTGCTGGCATTTCGTTTCCCAAGCTAGAGATTGCCGAAGAGATCCGGCCGATGTACTTCTTGGGTACGTCGGGCAAACTCATTAGTGAGTGCCGCTCCATGTTTTTGGAGTGCTTGGTTCTTTTGGTGGAAGTGTCCAGTACCCAGCTGGCCTTCACTCTGCTTGACGAAATGGTTTTGGCCATCAGCCGCCGAGTCAATGCGCTAGAGCATGTGCTTATTCCCAAAATAGAAAACACCATTGCGTATGTCCAGTCTGAGCTGGATGAGCAGGACCGAGAAGAGTTCTTTCGCCTCAAGAAAGTCCAAAGACCAAAGAGTGTCTAGTTGTACTTGGTTGTGTCTGGATGTACTTAGATGTACTTAGATGTACTTGGTTGTGTCTAAAAAGACCGAATGTGGAAGAGGGAGGAGTGTTCCGCCCCACTCAATAAAGATCTTAGTTGCTATCTTATCTCGGTATAAATTGCTTTCTAGGCCCGTCTAGGCCGATCTTATGTCTTGTTTGGGCGGGTACTAATTCATTTTTTGTCGGAGCCTAGTAATGGATCCAATGCTTCTCTACTCGTTAAGGCAGTTGCAGAAGGAAAAGAGTCTTTCTTCGTCCGATGACAGCTTAGTTGCTGGTCAGAGCACTGCCAGTACTCTTTTGGAAGAGAGTACGCTTAAACAGACCTACAACTTAACAACCGATGAGTATGGCGATCCCAATACTAACCCGGTTGAACAGGTGTTGAATGATGTAAATATGGCCGGTGCTGGTGCGGCTAGCCCAAAGGAGACCAACCGAGCTAGAGCCACACCGGATGATGAGGAGTGGGTTCCAGACATCTGTGATTTGCCCAGTAGCCAGGACATTGAAGATTGGATTGGCCAGGGACCAACGGAAAGTCGCACAAGCCCCAGCAATCACCAGAGACTAAAAGATCCCAAGCACAATAACAACAACAACCAAGGAAATAGAAAAAGTAATAGCAAAGAAAGTGGTAGCGATAGCGATAACGACAATGATGTATTGTTTCTGGAGGCCACTGCCAGTCCGCGACGTAATTTGACTAGACAGTATGATCAGAGTAGAAGTGAGACAGGCAGAGGTAATACTGGAGTAGGTAAGCGGGATAAAGAGAATTACACGCGAATTGTGCCCAATCGAGCTCAGCTAGCACTTGATTCTAATCACACTCCCAGCTCAACCCACCACAACTCAACCCACCACAACTCAACCCACCATAACTCAACCCACCACAACTCAATTAGCTACGATGAGCTAGTTCAGCGCGCTTCTCCCAGTGACCTAGAAGCCCTGCACAAGATAAATCATGCTCTTGTTAATGCATGGGAACGTGGAGGCTCTGAGTCACACACTTGGCAAGATCGGCGGCGGCAGCTACTCGGCCAGATTGTTCAGAGAACCACAAGCTCAGATAAGTATATCCAAAATAGATACCAAAATTCTTATCAAAATTCTTATCAAAATGATTACCAAAATACCCATCAAAATACCCACCAAAACGATCCGGCCAACACAATCCTCCAGCGAGACACCATGACTGCGCAATCGTACCTCAAACCGACTCCCAACCCAGCATCCACTTCGTCCTTCCAGCCATCCGACTCCGCCAGCGCGTACTCCCAGTATACCATCCCTGGCCCCGCGCCAATTCCTATCCCCAATCTATCTCGCCAGACACCCTACACCAATACACCAGCCACCACCAATCCCAATCCCAGCACCACTACTAACAACCCCACCCAACCCAATCGCAATACTAACCGAATCCTAACTCAATCCAACCCCACCCATTCTAAGCCAACAATCCCTTCTCTTCCCAAGTGCTACGCCCCTTCCCAGGAAACTCCGGCTCAGCGGCGCGTGGCAGTGTGTCTCCAGCGCGTGTTTGGTCTCTCTTCCTTCCGCCAGAACCAGGAGAGTATTATTGAGGCCGTGCTGGCCGATAAAGACGTCTTTGTGCTGATGCCCACGGGCGGCGGCAAATCTCTGACCTTCCAACTCCCGGCGGTGCTGGCCACGGGCGTGACTATTGTGGTCAGTCCCCTACTTGCCTTAATTCAAGACCAAATCAAAAACTTGATTAGAATGGGCATCCCGGCCATTGCGATCAACTCCTCCCTCAGCAAAACCGAGCGGACTCTAGCCTTGCGGCTGCTTAAGTGCACAGGCAGCTCGGTTGGCTGCACCAAGTACGCCCATCCCCAGCCACCACTGATCAAGCTGGTCTATGTGACCCCGGAGCTTCTAGTCGTCAGCCGAACCTTCAACAGTATCTTGCAGGAGCTGGCCGCGGAAGGCCGCCTGGCCCGCTTTGTTGTGGACGAGGCCCATTGTGTCTCGCAGTGGGGACACGACTTCCGCCCCGACTACACCCAGCTCTCCGTGCTAAAGGAGCAGTACCCATCGGTGCCCATCACTGCTCTGACCGCCACGGCCACTGAAACCGTCCAGAAAGACATCCTGGCCGCCCTCCGCATGCGCTCTTGTGTGACCTTCTCGCAGAGCTTCAACCGGAGCAATCTGCGGTACTGCGTGGTTCCCAAAACCGGAAACCCGCTGACCGACATTGTGAGCTTTATCGAGACCAACTATCCCCACGAGTCCGGGATTATCTACTGTCTGTCTAAGAAGGACTGTGAGTGGTTGGCCGAGACTCTCTCTACGCGGTACGGTGTCCGGGCTGGGTACTACCACGCCGGCCTGTCCAAAAAGGAGCGGCTGGAGATTGCCCAGAAGTGGGACTCGGGCCAGTTAGTGGTGATTGTAGCCACAATTGCCTTTGGCATGGGCATTGATAAGAAGGATGTCCGCTATGTTCTGCACTACACACTCCCTAAGTCGCTGGAGGGGTACTACCAGGAAACCGGGCGGGCGGGCCGAGACCAGCTAGAATCTGAGTGCATCTTGTACTACTCATACACAGACAAGAAGAAAATAGACTTCATGATTGACCGCTCCGAAACCAGCACGGAGGCCAAGAACCGGCAAAGGGCCAACCTCCGGGCGGTCATTGCCTTCTGCGAGAACCGCGTTGAGTGCCGGCGGTTTCTATTGCTGCACTATTTCGGCGAGACCTTTACAGGTGAGTGTGCAGGCACCTGTGATAACTGCCGGAAGCGCGGCGGGCTCATTGAAGTGGACTGTCTAGAGGAGGCTCTTCTGATGCAAGAGCTGGTACGAGGCTCCGGACTACTGACCGAGATAAAGCTTGTGGCCAAGTGCCGGCAGCACACGAAGAAGAGCAAGGACATTCTAGCGCGGGTAGTCCGATGGATGGTTGGAAACGGGTACCTAGGCACCAAGCTCGTCATTGGAGCGCGCGGGTTCTCCTGGAGTTATCTGCAGCCCGGTGAAGGCGTTCCCACAGAAGTGCGGATTACCGCCGGCGTGGGCGAGTCTATTGAGCAGGCGGCACCCAAAGCTCGCCGCGCAGACAAGAGCACCAGCACCCGCCGCTCCCCTCTTGAAGAGCTCGCAGTTGATGATACCGGATACTTTGATGACTCCGAGATACTAACTTAATACCAACTTAATACCCGCCCAACTCAACTTAACACCAACCCAATACCCACTCAACTCAACTTAACATAACCCAACTTAATATAACGTAATCTTCATTAATAAGACGAGAATAAACTATTGGCAAACTGTTCAGGTCAAATTATGGTAGTATTTAATTGAATTATTAGAAGCTACTCTTACTTATAACCAAACCCAAATAGCTAATCTAGGAATAGAGGCATGTGGTTAGCAAGTACCTTCATTTTCAAACCGGTCTGCTTCGCCGGGCTATTAACTTAACTCAGTGGGAAGACATTTTTAGCGATGCGATTTTCGTCTTTAACGATAGAGCGTTGGTTGATTGATAGACTGGATGGTCTAGATTTGGTGGAGATGACTCCGGTGCAAGAGGCCGTTGTCCCGCTGCTTTTAAAACAAAGAGATGTTGTGGCTGAAGCCATCACGGGCTCTGGTAAGACTTTGGCCTTTCTAGTGCCGATTTTGCACAATCTGTGCCGGAAGAAGCGCGATGTCTCCCAGAAGAAGGGCCCGCGTGCTCTTGTAGTGGCTCCTACGCGGGAGCTGGCCCAGCAGATTGAGAAAGTCGTGCTGGGCCTGTTAACAGGTGCTGAGGTAACTGTGCAGTGTGTAACTGGCGGGGCCCAAGTGGACGACATTCTGGCCCAGAAAATGTCGAATGCGGCTGGAGAGACTCTCTGGCCGGACATTCTGATTGGCTCACCGGGCAAAGTTCTTGATCTGTGCAAGGCTGCTGCCATGCCGCTGCGCAATGTCGAGCACTTTGTACTGGACGAAGCAGATAAGATGCTTTCCTTTGGGTTTCGTAAGGAGGTTGCTGAAATGCTACGGCTCTTACCCCGGGCTAAACAAACAGCTGTCTTTTCAGCTACTATCTCTGAGTATGTCCACGAGTTGTCCCGGCTGGGAATGCGCAGTCCTTTGTTTGTCTGTGTGAAGAGCCAAGGACGGCTCCCAGAGCGACTGGTTCTTTCGGGGCTAGAAGTCCCGGCGGACAAGAAGATGGACGCCTTGCTGGCCGTGCTGCCAACAATGGGCCAGAAGAGTCTGGTTTTCTTTGCCACTTGTGCGCAGGTTGATTACTTCCACAGCCGGCTAGTGGCTCTGGCCGGCGGACCGGGTGTCTGGCAGCAAGTGGTGAAACTCCATCGAAAGCTGCCGCAACATGCTCGAGAGCGGGCGTATGCTGAGTATGCGGCCTTAGATGCCGGAGTTCTACTATGCACAGATATCTCGGCGCGCGGCCTGGACTTCCCGGGTGTTTCCGGTGTTTTGCACTTTGATCTACCACAAGATCCGGCCACGTTTGTTCATCGCAGTGGGCGAACTGCACGCTACAACCAGGACGGCCGCTGTCTCTTCTTCTTCATGCCCAACGAGGTCGGCTTTGCCGAATTCCTACGCCTTCGCGGCATGGAAGCTAAAATCCAAAAGAACTGGGAAGACTGCTACACCACAAGCCCAACTGACTCAACCGGGCCACAAGTCCATCCAACCCTCCTAGCCACTCTCACTGACACTACCAGCTCTCCTATCCCTCTTAGTCCTCTTAGCCCTCCCAACTCAATTCCTACCCCTCCCAACTCAACTCAATCGGACACCACACAAACTAAGCCACCCAAATACACCGATGACTTAGAGGTGGTTGCATTTGTGTCTTATATCCGCTCCTACAAAGAGCACGTGCTCAAACACATTCTGAACTTCCGTGAGCTAGACTGGGCCGGTCTAGCTGATCTGTACTGTTTGAAGCGACGGCCAACCCTACCCGAAATGCGCGGTGTAGTGATTCCTCGTCTCCCCGAGCCGGCCCCTCGAACCCCAGAAGAGCGCCGAGAAAGAAGAGCCCTTCTTCGAGCCCAGCGCGGTCCTCCAACTCCAGCCCAGGAAGCCACTACCATTCCACCTCCAGCCAATATACCCAGTACCTACCAACCCAAGCCCGCAGTTAAGCGAAAGCGAATGCCCGGCCGTATTTTTGTTACCCGTCGCCGCTAAATCCATCAAATTAGATTAAGTTAAGTTAAGTTTAAGTTATATTGTGATTGTGTTAAGTTTACGTTGTGATTGAGTTAAGTTTACGTTATGATTGTGTTGTGTTATGATTGTATTATGTTCGAGCTGATATTGACTTTAATCAACCCAACCCAACTCAACTCAACTCAACCCAACCCAATACAACCTAATCCAACTCAACCCAATCATAACTTAAACTTAACTTAACTTAATGGAATACTAAAATCAAAACTAAAACCAACCCAGTTACAATAAAATTCAAGTAGAGTTGTTAAGTAAATTTACTATTATATTGGTGTTTAGTTGGTTTATGTTTAGTTAGTTAGAAATAGGTAGTTAGTTAGAAATAGGTAGTTAGTTAGAAATGTGTTGTTGGACTAGGATTGAAATAGTAGAGTGTTGATGTAAAGTGGGAAGACTATGTGAGTTGAATAGGTGTTGAGTTTATTGAGTTAATATATTGGATTGATTTGATTTGAGATCAGTGAAACTAGGAGGTTTTGGGGGTGTTGGTGTCGGGCTCAACGGCCTGATTGATGTTGCGAAGAAGACTTCGGCTGGTGAGAACGGCTTTCTTGCCATCGTTGGTGATGCGCGTGATTTGGTCGCCTATCTGGGCGAGAATGTCCTTGTTGGCTTTGTGGGCCCGAATGAGGTGCTTGAGAAGAGGAAGGACAGTGCGCACATTGATCTTTTCGGGCTTAAGATCAGCTAGGAGGGGCAGGAGAAGCTCAGTAGAAAGCTGAGTAATACCAAGTGGACAGAGCTCGGTGGAGGTGTTGAAGGACCGTTCGCTGACCAGATAAACCAGTAGCTGGCGCAGTGTGCTGGCTGCGGCTTCCGACATCTCGGGCTTTTTCAGAGCAGCGATAAAGAACTGGGCATACCCGAGCTCGTGTGTCTTCTTGCGCATACTACTGATATACTGCGAGCAGGCCAGTAGCAGGGATTCCTCGGACTTAAGAGTCTTCAGCACAGCTCGGCCAAGGAGACGTACTTTGTCAACGGGCAGGGCGGCTTTGCCAATGGTTTCGTATAGAGCCAGAACGTTCGGCCAGATAGGAACCTCTGCCTGGCAGTTTTCAACCAGCGCAGTCAGGGGCTCAACATAGGCAGTCACAATCTCGCGGTGTCTGGTTTTGCTTTTAGCTGTGCCACTAAATAAAGTCAAGTGTCTTTCCATTGCGTCTTCATCCGCGGGATTAGGAGTGGCCGTAAGGGCGCCAAGGAAGCGCGAAGCCACCTCCTGAACAGCCACTGGGTTGGCTGGCAGACGGGCTATAACGTACATGGCCACCATTTTACTGAGCTTATCTTCGGCCTCAATCCGCAGGGCCAGCAAGAACGCCAGGAGCTCGGCACTCTCTTCATCGGCCAGGTCGCCAGAGTAGGCAATCGCCGGGTCAATAGTGCCCAAGATGGCATTGAGAATGGTAAGCAGAGGCGAGGCCGAAGACGGAGCAATGGGGCCAAGGGCAAGTTCTAAGCGGGCGAGGAGGACTTCGGGCTTCCAGGAGGTTTTAAGCATGGTTTGAAGAGTCTTGTTTAGAGTGGCACCAGTAAGTGGTCCAGTTCGCTGCAGAGCTTCTTCGAAGGAGAGCAAAGAGATATCTGTGGCTGAGAGGCCGGTGTTCATGAGCTCTTCTTTGAGTAGATTGGGCAGACCAAATGGACTGGAGTGCTTTTTCACAGTTATGTCGTTTTGCATCGAAATTTTAGCAATCTTCAGCTAGTTCTTATACTAGTCTGTTTTCAAAAGCATGGTTTGGGAGATAGCGCGAAAAGAGAGGTTGAGAGGGGTCTGGAAGGCGCGGATGGCCAAGACAGGTCGGAGAAGAGTTAGTATTTGGGTGGGCATCAGGAAAAGTAGGTACGAGATGGGTGGCAGTAAGGTTGTTGAAAGAGAGCTGAACTCGAAGCAAGAGGC